AAAAAAAAAAAAGGAAGAAGAAAATTAAAAAAAAAAAACAGAGTTGCATTAAATAAAAACTTTTGAATTATGATTGAGTTGTATATAATAACAAATAGTGCCAATTTCATTTTGCAGAGAAAACAATATTGAAGAATGTGGTTTGGAAATGTACTTCTCTGTTGATAAAGAAATTCTAGGTGAAATTAAGAGTCATGATTTGAAACCCAATGGAGGCAATATTCTTGTGACAGAAGAAAATAAGGAGGAATACATCAGGTAAGAGACAGTGTTCCTAAAAGGGGATAAGAGGGATAATGGAAGCGAGATGGCAGGGTGGCTCAACAGGGAACAGTACTTGCTGTGTTTCCAGAGAACCCTGAGTTTGTCCACAGCATCCACATCAGGCTGCTCACAGCTATCTGGAACTCCAACTCCAGGGGACCAACACTTTCTGTTCTCTGCACACTCACATGCATGGCATACACAATATACCCATAAATAAAAATAAATAGTCTTCTGTTTTAGAAAATGAGACAGTGTGTGAGTTCGAGGCCAGCCTGGTCTATAAGAGCTAGTTCCAGGATAGGCTCCAAAGCCACAGAGAAACCCTGTCTCGAAAAACCAAAAAGAAAAATAAAAAAAGTGAGACAGTGTTCCTTTAGCCTTTTTGTCTAATAATAGCTAAAAGTGGTATTTTAAAAATAATGTTTGCTTTTATAGGAATCACTTTTTTGTAAACAGTTTTCATTTCTAGGATTTTAAAAATAGAATGTCATGGTAAATCTATCTATCTATCTATCTATCTATCTATCTATCTATCTATCTATCTATCTATCTATCTATCTATCTATTTGAGATATGGTCTATGTAGCCATGGGTAGCCTGGACCTTGTTATGCAGATCAGGCTGGTCTGGAACTCACTCTGTAGACCATGCTGGCCTCAAACTCACAGAGATCCACCTGCCTCTGCTTCCTGAGCGCTGGGATCCAAGGAATGTGCCACCATTGCAGGCTTGTTTTTTGCTTTCTAAGAGATTTAATTTGTTCCAGGCATTGTAGCATACACCTGCTGGTCCAGCACTTATTAGTCAGAGAAAAAAAGGTCAGAGTCATCTTTGGCTATAGAGCAAATTCTAGGCAAGCCAGAACTATTTGAGAGCCTGCCTAAAACAAGCAAATCTCAGTGGGCCCTTGTGTGTGTGTGTGGGGGGAGGGGGGTGGCTCATACGTAGTAACTGGAATAGATGAAAAGACAAAAGTGAGTCCTTAACATGCCAGTCGACCACCTTGACCCAATTGCTTTTATTCTCTTGTTTTTCTAACTTGATACTAGTTTGGTCAGAAAACAATCTTTAAAATGCCATTTTGTTTTGAAACTTTTAGTGTAAGCCAGTGTGTGGTCTGTCTTGTGCACCTAATGTGTTCCTGTTGTTGGATTAGTTATTGTCAAGAACTCAGATACCTAAAATATATCCATTGGTTTGCTTGTTAATTTTTTTAAAGAAAATATTCTGAAACAAAATAAAATTTTATTTATCAGCTTTTGAGAGACTTAGATAATTGAAATCTGCAATTTTATGGTAAGGAAGAGATTAAAGAAAGTAATTCTCTTTGAAAAGTACTTTTTAGCATGGCATGGTGATGCATACCTGTTATCATAACCATTGGGAAGCTTGAGGCCAGCCTGGACTACATAGTGAGTTAGTTATAGGACAGCCTGGGCTACATAGTGAGTTAGTTATAGGACAGCCTGGGCTACATTGTGAGACCCTCTTTCAAACAAAGGTGTTCATGCTACTCTAATTTTTATGTGTATTTCAGGGCTTTACAATAAAGTTTACATTTTTAATTTTATGCAGTATTTAAAAGTAAAATCTTAACTTCCTGATAAAATTTCCATTCTTATTTGCCAGGATGGTAGCTGAGTGGAGATTGTCTCGAGGTGTTGAAGAACAGACACAAGCTTTCTTTGAGGGCTTTAATGAAATTCTTCCCCAGCAATATTTACAATATTTTGATGCAAAAGAATTAGAGGTAATGAGTTTTTCTTTATTCCAACACACTAATAAATGCCTTCAGGTATTTTTTCATCTGGTATTTGTATTTTTTATGCAAGCATATGTTTCAAACACCCTTAGTTTATACTGAAACAAAAAAAGAATATTACTTTTAAAAAAAGGTGTTGTGGCTGGAGAGGTGGCTAAGCTTATGCAACTGCCTGCTCTTCCAGAGGACCAGGTCTCATCTGAGGGTACCAGGCTCTCTAGTGGTGCACAGACACGCATACAGACAAACATACATACACATAAAATAAGTCAATATTTTTTAAAACTCTTTTTAAAGTGTCTTGTTATTAAGGTTTTTTTTTTTCTGCAATTCAGTAACCATTTCCCTCGATATGTGACCCCACACATGGGAGCTGCCCTCCCGGAATCATGTGACTCTGGGTATAGAGTCAGTCTGTCTTTAAGTCGGTATGTTCCATGTTAGTCTTACGTACATGAAACAGTTTTGGTTGCCTAAAGTAACAACTTGTTCTGTTCTTGTTTTATTGTTGTAGGTCCTTTTGTGTGGAATGCAAGAGATCGACTTGAATGACTGGCAGAGACATGCCATCTATCGCCACTACACAAGGACGAGCAAACAGATCATGTGGTTTTGGCAGGTTTGTTTCTAAATTTCTTTTTTTTTTTTAACATTTATTTATTTTATGTATATGGTACTCTATCTGCAGGTACACCTGCATGCCAGAAGAGGGTATCAGATCCCATTATAGAAGCTGTGAGCCATTATGTGGTTGTTGGAACCTGAACTTCCAGGACTTCTGGAAGTGCTGCCAATGCTCTTAACCACTGAGCCATCTCTCCAGCCCCTCTAAATTTATTTCTATAGATAGGCACAACATGCATTTTATTCATTCATTTGTTTATTTATTTATTTAGAATTTACCAAAATAAGTAACTCGAAAATGTGCAAGCCCTTTGTTCTGGCTGTGCATTACAGTAATATGTTATAAGAAATGAGTATGATTTTAACGGTGTCCTCTAAAGACGGTTACCAAGTAACACATACCTTGTACCTTTGCCAGAGGATAAGCTAGTTTCACAGATAAGATTCATTCATTAGGGGCTGGAGAGATAGCTCACTGGTAAAGAGCCCCTGTTCTTATAGCAGCTCCTACGCCCCCACAGAGACTCACAGTCATCTGTAGCCATGTTTGTGCTACACACACACGTGCAGCTTAGCCACTCTTGAGCATAAGTAGGAAAAAAAATGTTTAAAACAGAGATTCATTTGTTTATGTTTGATATTAATACTTTGGAATCTTATGAAACTATAAAGTATGGCTGTGATCATTGCTACTTCATTAAGAATTATGTAAATTTAGATGGCAGATTTAGCAGATCTGGTTAGGTTTTGAGAGATCTTACAGTGAGATCTCTCAAAAAATGCCTGCTGTCTGGCAGGTAAAATGCTTACTACAGAAGCACAAGTACCTGAGTCTGGATATTCAGCACTCACATGGAAAAGAGCTGGGCCCAGAGACATGCTCCTAACCACAGTGCCAGGGAGCACAGATTGGAGGACCCTAGGGACTCAGTAGCCAGTCTAGCTGGTCAGGAGCTCCAAGTTCAGTGAGAGACCATGACTCAAAAACAAAAACAAAACAGAAAAACAAAAAAAAAAAAACAAATAAAAAATCTGGAGAATGATACAGGAAAATTTCTAACATTGATCTCTGACCTAAACACATACTCAAACATGCATGCAGGACAGCCAAGGCTACATAGAAATCTTGTCTTGAACTTCCCTCCTTCACCAATTAAAACAAAAACACCAAAAACCAAAACAAGAACAGTTTAAATATACAGTTATCATACATGACTTACAAGTTTCACTTCAGAAGAATTAAATCCAGAGACCCAAGCGGATAATAGTGCTTTATGCTGGTATTTATAACAGTGCTGTCCCAGCTCACCCAGAGGCAAAATGAAGCTATCTGCATATTAATTATAAAATCCACATATTAATGGATGAACAGAGTAGTTTGAATGTATAATGGAAATAATTTAGCCCTAAAAATGATTGAAACTTTTGATGCACGTTACAATGTTGAGGCTTTAAAGCAGTATGAATTTGAGCTGGGCATCGTATGTAATCACAGGTTTTAGCCCAGTGGCTCTCAACCTTCCCAATGCTGCAACCCTTTAATACAGTTCCTTATCTTGTGGTGACCCCATAAAATTATTTTCATTACTACTTCATAACTGTAATTTTGCTACTGTTATGAATCATAATGTAAATATTTTTTGGAGATAAAGGTTTGCCAAAGCGATTGTGGCTCACAGGGTGAGAATCACTGTCTTAGAGGCTAGGCAAAAGGATTGAGTTCAAGAGAAACTGAGGTTACTTAACAGCCTGTCTCAGAAGTAGAAAAAACATGAATTTTGTGCTGGAAATATAGCTTACCTAGCAGGCTCCAGGCCCCAAATTCAGTCATAAACACTGAGGCTCGGGGAGATGTTCAAGAAATAATCAGGGGCTGGGAACATAGCTCAGATGTAGAGTACTTGCCAAGTGCACACAGGCCCTGGTCAGTTCCCTGCACTAAGGAAGAAACAAGACCTGGCTTGGTGGCACATACCTGTAATCTCAGTCCTCAGGAAGCTGGAGGAATACAGCAAATTCAAGACCATCCTGGTCTACAAAGTGAGTTCCAGTACAGCCAGTGCTACACAGAGAAACCCTGTCTCTGAAAACAAAAGAAAAAGGAAGGAAACACAGAAATGAAATAATTGACAGGAAACCAGATTAGTGGCTCATGCCTTTAATTCTAGCACTTAGGAGAGTCTAAAACAGTGATTTTGGAATGTTAGGACATTCTCAGCTATATAACAAGTTTGAGGCCAGTCTGGATTACATAAAACCCCTCTTCAAAAAATAACTAAATAAATATTGACATTAGTAAATAGGGCAACATATTCATTACAAAAACATATTTCACTCAGCCAAAATATGCTACAGGATATAAAGATCTGCTAGAAACCCTATATTTCTGGCTACATGTGACTTCAAATACTCTAAATATTGAGAAAAGGGTTATTGCATTTTATGAGCTTGATCTGATTTGTTCATGAAACCTATGTAACCACAGGAATGTGCTATAGGACACACAGGACTAAGGGGAATGGGAAAGGCTGCTCTAGAGCAACAGAGCCAAGAGCATTCAGAGATCTATCCTGAGGCTCTGACAGGTCTAGTGTCGTTGACACCCAAGTTCATTTAAGAGTTGAAATGATCATTTTCTGTCTTGTTCACTGCGCTGTATATAACTTGGCTTGTATTTTTCCTTGAATGTGATGTTAACAGTTTGTTAAAGAAATTGATAACGAGAAGAGGATGAGACTTCTGCAGTTTGTTACTGGAACCTGCCGCCTGCCAGTAGGAGGATTTGCTGACCTCATGGGTGTGTATAAAGGGCTTCTTTTCTGTAGAGAAGACTGTTGACCTTCCTGCCCTTGGATGATTGTCTGTGCAGCTTATCAGAAACAACAGGTGTAGATGTTCTTAACTGTCCACTGATGACCTTCATTTTATGGACTGGGGATGACTTTTTAGTTCTTACCTCAGTAAGGTTTTTTTTTTTTTTTTTCCTGTTTTTAAAGACACAGTCTCATGCACCCTAGACTGGCCTCAAATTCACTATGTAGCCAAGGAGAACCCTGAATTCCTGACCTCCTGCCTCCGTATGTATGTTTGATAAGAGCTGTGTTAGAAGATATATCTAAATAGACAAATACTTATTTCTATTTGGGGGCTACCTTTATTTTTCTTTCTCTTTCTTTCTTTCTTTTTTTTTTTTTCTTTTTTTT